AAAAAACATAAGATGGAAGGAGTGGGAGGGGAAAAAGTAGTGGTGACATTCGGGACATGCACATCTGGCAAGAAAACACTTAAAGTGTCAGTGAGGGGAAAGAAGTCAAGAGTGAGAGAGCGATGAAGAAAAAAAAAGGAGGCAGAAACCAGCGAAGGATTAGGGGTGGAGCAAGTACGCGAGCGAGACAATTGATTACCGCTTTTCCTTTTTTGATACAAGCTGCATATCTACGTGCACATTTGCTGGCCGGTATTCCATTTTTTTTTTTTTTTGCTGTTCCATAAGTAGTATTTTTTTCTGGTGCGTCTTTGTGACCCGTTTTTGGCTCTTCTTGTATGTTTGTAGGTGTCGGTTGCTGATGCCCCGCAACGGCAAACACATGAAGGGGCTTTCTCTGTAATTGTCTGCACGGGGATGGAGTGGGGAATTTTGCTGGCTCTCCAACGGTGTGCCTGTGCGAGCGGCTATTTATGTGAGCCTCGACTGATTTGATTGCTTTTATTATGACTACAATTATTGTCGTTGCCCTTTACGCGTTATGAAGCATGCGAAATCGAGAAGGATGAATGAATCAGGGGCTGTGGTCGGCCGATAGGGGTGTAGTTGGATAGTGGCTGCACGTCCGGGGAAGGAATAGGGCGAGTTTTTGCCATTGAGGCATGCGTGCTGATGTGGCTGTTTACTGTAGTGTGAGGGGGAGGCCGCGATGGTGGTGGCGCCAACGAGGGGGCCGTGCCATCTTTGCCTAATGCAGCCGACGCACAGACGGTGCTTTTGAAGCAGACAAAGGGCGAGGGCCACGAGGAAGGTGCGTTGTCTCCCTCGCTGATAGATCGCTCAAAAAACCAACAAGTTGTTATACGAAAGGGCGGTGCTTGAGTGGCCTTTTTTGACACCGAGGCCGTCGATTGCATAGTGGGAAGGTACGAGAAGGAAATGACGGTTGCCGATCAGTTAATGAAGAAAAAAAAACAGAAAAAAAAGCAGGAGCAGGGTCTGCTTTGCTTTTATGATCACGAGGAGGATCGGCGTCATAGTCAGTGGCTTAAGGACCAGGGGCACGTGCGCGAGACCCTCAAAGTTCATTGGCTGGATATGATTATGGGTAAGCCATTGCTTTGCTTGACCTACTTGGCGCGCGTGGGGACAACCGTGGGATTCTTCCACGGAGTGGGGCGCTCGGTGTATCTTTATCGTACTATGGACAAGATATATATTAAGCTCCATGGTGTTAGCTTTGCGGGCATCGCCTTGTGCGAAGCTAGTATTTCGATTGTGAAGGGCGCCCTTGTGGCGGCGGCTGGCACTGCGGGTATAGTAGTGGGTGAATCTGCGACGAGCATTACGAGAGCGATTACCACCAGAGATGTCTCTGTGCCGGAGCGTGCATGGATTAACGTTTGGGTTTGTGGTACTTCTGGCGGGCTTTTCGCTTTGGGGTTGGGGTTGGGTTGGGGGGGGGGGGGGGCGTTTACAGCTTTGCACGCTTCCATCCTGACACCTTGGGGAATGGCGGCGACTGTGATGGGTTTTACAGCTGTCAGCTCCCTCCTGGGACTCGCACTAGCCTGTATCACATATCATCCCTTTGCTGCTGCACGTCAGGGTCGCACTTACGACCCCTACTGGCACCCATGGTACACGAGGAGACTTAATGACGGTGGCGGTGCCTACATGCGTGGGAGGTACATCTGACACAATGCTTCACTTCTCGTTATGTGGGTGCTTTTGTTTTTTCTCTTTTCTGGCAATGCTCTACTGCTTCTCTAACACGTTGAAAAGTTTTCTTTTCTTGACGCTGGTAACGCCTCCATCCTTCCTTCCTTTAGCTGCAACCAAAACAAAGCGAATACTCATAAAGAGATAATAACAAATAACACCACCAAAAATGTCTGCCTTTGCTCACGCATACCTTTCCGACACGTGGAACCGTGACAAGGTCATGGCAATTGTGCAGTTTCTTCCGATGGCGCTGGAGGGTCCTGTTCGAAATGCCGGTTGTGATTCCCTTGCCGTATCTCTGGGCAATTTGTCAAAGATGGCGGACGCGTATCGTGCGGTCACCCGTTTGTCTCTGGTGTTAAACGCACTTTCGTCCAAGACGTTGACGGCTCTGGCGAAGCCAGGGGAAGATGCCTTTGTTCGTCGTCTTGATCAGGTTTCACACGCGTTCCACATCGGCTTCTGCCTCAACGAGCACACGGCGGTGCTTGCGGGGCGGGGAGTGTTTAATTCCGGGCTGGCACGCCTGGGTGGTGTCGCTGTGCTTTGCTGGTTTTACACGCTTGTCGTGGGTTTGGTCCGGCAGGTGTACCTGCTGGCGAAACACAGCCCCAATGGTCCCTGCAAGGTTCTGATGCCGGGGGATGCAAATGACACGAAGGTTGTTCCATACACGCACGAGGAGTGCAAGCGTGCTGTGGTGAACCTGGTGAAGCTGAGCCTTTTTACCGTATTTTCAATGACGTGTCTGCCTGATGGCAAGCCCCAGCTGCTGCAGGAGCCATGCAGCTTCTTGATGCCCTTGCACCAGTTGGTCAGAGCGCTTGCACCAAACAAGCTGAACCTGAGTGACACTGTGCGTGGTCTCTTTGCCGTCACCGCATCGCTATGCGATTTCTATTAAGGTTTTTGTGGTATATCATTGGGGCGGTCAGAAGCTAGGAATACAAATAAGAAATTGAAGAAAAAACAAAGAGCGTGATTGTTTTTGGCTATTTTACATGATGTTTTTTTTTTAGGTTTATTGTGTTTTGTGGTTTGTAATTTAAAGAAAACGACCCTGTGGTGATATTTTTCAAAAGATAGATATATGCGGTTTGACTTCTCCTTCTCCCGGCTGAGAAACGCAACTGTGTAGGTAATTGTTGTTTTTTTCTTTTCAGGGTGAATTTGTTCTTCGGAAAAGCGTCTGTCTGTGTGTGTGTGTGTGTGTGTAGGAGCTGCAGTGATTCCGAGGCGCGTTCGTCAGTAAAGGGTTCTCTCGGCAAAAAAAAAAACGAAATTATTTCATGCGTAGTATTATTTTGCTTGACAGGATTTTTTTTCCCGTTTACTGCGTGCAACTTTGGCTGCTGAAGCATGTGAAGCACGTGTGCTCATTCTGCCTCGTTGTTTGAGTTGGGTGAAGAGCGCCATTATCGGTGTCGGGTGAATTTGTTTTGGGATTTTTTGTTTGAGCGCTTTTATCAAATTTATTTTTTAAATATTTTTTTTTTCTTTTTGGTCACCGCGTGAGATCTTTGCTTTTGGCGCGTTTTGTTCTGCGTTCCCCTTGCTGGTGGGCATGCGTTGGCGCGTATTTTGTTGTTGTTAAATACCTGTTTTTTTTTGCTGTTCCATAAGT